GATGGAGGATTGGGGTGGGTGGGGAGCTGATAGAAAGGGGTGACAGCGAGATCTGTCCACGCACTGACACCATGTGAGGAATGTAGTAGTACATGGAGTAATAAAAAGACAAGTTAAAAACAAAAAGAGCTGCACATTAAGGGATCAGTTCCTCAAATGAGAGGGTTTTGAGGGTCCAAGAGCTGCCAGTGAAGAGCGGCCGCCTGAAGGTGAATCCTCTGGGAGGTGCCGCTGAGGAGCTGCAGGCCCTCAGGAGAACAGGATCACCTGTGAGCACTGCCAGCTCTCAGTGTGCTCCTTGTGCCTTGGGCTGGGTTGGAAACAAGTGACTCTGAGGTGCCCTGGAAGTGTCCAGGTCCCGAAGGGGAAAGAGGAGGCTTCTTGGTTCTTGGGTCTCAGGTGTCTGTGTCTGTGTCCATTGCCTGTATCTATGTCTGTTACAACCACTGAGATCTGCAGTGTGTGTGTGTGTGTGCTGGTGCCTTTTTGCAGTGCAAGAGATGCAGTGCAGGGCCTTGTGAGCACTAACCAAGTGCCTGACCCCGAGCCAGGTCTGTCTCTGCGTGTGAAAGCCAGGGACTCAGCTGGGGGCCTCAGGTGGGCTGGTTGGGTGCAGCCAGCACTGAAGACTAGCACATGAACAGGTGCCAGAGCCCACTGTCTCCAGCTGGGAAAAGCAAAGTTATTCTCTAGAGATGAGGAGGCCAAAGGCATGCACCAAGGTGCCCACAGGGCCACGTACTCTGTCCTGGCTCTGGGGCTCATGGCGGAACATGGCTGCCGTCCCCACTCAAGAGTTACTTCTCACTTTGCCTCTGTGGAGACCTGTGTCCAAATCAAATCTCATTCTGTGGTCAGAGGAGGACTCATCATGGCCATCTAGGGGGCCACAATGCAACCATAGCAGGCTCCTTCCCCAGTCCCCGGCGCTAGACCCAGCACTGCTCAGTGGTGAGGGGACCATTCTGTCTGGACCATGCCATCCAGAACGGGGAGCTCGATAGAGCTCAGAAGCACTGCCTTGAGCCTCGGGGGTTTGTGGCCAGGGCAGTGGTGCCTGGGAACACTTGTATCTCCTGAATGCTCTTGTTGGTGTTTACATACTCACATGGTGTTTGCACATGTGCATTCTAAACTAAATTCAAGCAGTTGTTGGCCAGAGTCCTCCCTGTCTTTCCCAGCATGTGAGGAACACAGCTTTCAGGGTAGCGATAGGGCCCAGTACTCACTGCTGCCAGCACAGTGAGTCACAGTCATGAGGCAAGGCAGGTGGGTGGGGCCAGGATCCAGCTGTGCTGCGGGTTCCGCCCCCTTGCAGGCTGCCTGAGGGCTGCTGAGCACAGGCACTGGGTGGGGCAGGGACACAGCCCTGATTCAGCCGCTGGTATCAATCAAGATGCTTTGTCTTGCAGCTTTGGAAACAGAGCTGCTGCATTCTTGGACTGCTTACTTCCTCCCACATTGGCTCTGGTAGCCCTGCTATTTCGCTTCCTCTGGGTTGGAGAAGAGGGCGAAAGTCAGAGCAGTAGAAGCAAAACTGGGAAGTGAAAAGCCATGAGTGGGCTATGAGCAAGCCGCCAGCCTTGCACATCCGTGCTGGGCTCTAGGAGCTGCTGGGATTGGGGTACAGTGAGGACCTCAGCTCCTCGGCCCCCACACCACAGACCACGTGCATAGGTACAGGCCCTTTTCACTGTTGAGTTTGTATCCAGACCATCCTCGCAGAGAGACTCAAGGGGGGATGGGCCGTGGGGTCTCACAGTGGACTTGCCCTTAAGAGGTGGAGGCGGCTGGAAGCAGATCACCCACGCGTAACCTGGAAGCATTAATCTCCCTTCTTAGCCCTTGCCTTCTCTCTGCTTCTGGTCTCTCTGCTGTGAGCAGCTTCTCGCTTACAGGCCCCTCTACCTTGGGGATGCCTGACTGTGAAGTAAAACCTTTACCAACTGTGGGCCAGAATAAACCTCTTCCCCTTTCGAACGTGGGTGTTGGGAATTGTACCTCAGTAATGAGGAAGTGACTAAGAAGCTCCAGTGGACACTGGGCCTCTGACAGGATGGCAATCCCAGGACAGCCAGCATCCAGCAGGGGGAGTGTGGTGAGGGACTCCCAGCTGGCCAGGAGCTGAGACAGGGCTAGGGCAGTGATGCCACGGCCCTGTTTCTGTGCTTCCTGTCTGCCACGCCACAGGCAGCTCTCCTCCACCAGGCCCCTCTGCTTGCTATTTCTTCTCTGGAGCCAGCTGCCCAGGGACTGAACCATGAGCCTGAATAAACCTCTCCTCCTTTAAACTGTGGGTGTCCGGTATTGTGTCCCAGTGACAAGAACAGTGTCTGAGACACCACCACTACTGGTCTCACCTGTGTCACCTGTCCATCCTTTCTCCCCCACCCCTGCAATACTGCCTAATCTCTGGTGGTTTGCATACTTCTGTCTTCTCCAGAGCGTCAGCAGTTGGAACCCAGCAGCACACATTCTCTTCAGGTGGCTCGCTTTACTTGGTTTCCTTTGTGTTGGGGTGTGGCTCTGGGGCTCACTTTTTTCTGACACTTGGCAATGTCCACTGCCTGGGCCTGGTAGTTGCTCCAGCTGTGGTGTCATGACCAATGTCGCTGTAGATGTCAGTGTGCAGGTTTCCATGCAGACATTTGAGGCTCTGCTGAGTACATTGGAGAAGCAGGCAGGTCCAAGGAGCAGCTGTTCCATCAGGGGCTTCCTAGCACTGCTGGAAGTTTGGGCCTGGTCCTGTGATCTCCTGGTTTGAGGAGTCCAGGAAGCATTCTGCAGGTATGGCAGGACAGGGCTTCGTAATATGTGTCCTCACACTGTCCTCCAGGTGGCCCTGTGGTTTGCATCTCCACAGCCTGAGCTTAACATGCCTGTGGCCCCTTGTCCTCCTGGGACTGGGATCAGTTATTTCAGTCATAGCTGTGTGGTCGTGTCTTGCTGTTTGCATCTGGATTTTCTTTCCGAGGACAGATTGGCTTCTTCCCACATGCTCGTCTGCCACCTGAACACTTTCTCCACTGTGCTGTCCTTGAGTCTGTCCATGGGTAGATGCTGTGCTCTTCCTGCTGGCTGCGCTCGTAGGGAGTTTGGACAGAGCTGTGTTCAGTGAGCACTTTGTCCCACAGGAGCCTGGCACCTCCTCCTCTGACAGCCTTTCAGAGAGTACAGGGTTTTCCTTTCAGTGAAAACAGACTTGATTGTTTATTTTCCTGGATAGTGCTTTTGGTGTTATCCAAAAGATCCTCGCAAAACTTGGGACAACTGGAATAATCTTCTCTGTGATCTTGTGGAGACTGTGTAGCTTCCTAATATACAAAGGTCTAGGCCTAGGATTTATTAAACACTTCTAGGGATGTGAACTGAGTCACTTCATGCACGTGGTGTAATGAGTTGCAGCCCTGTCTTCCCAAAGCACCATCTTCTCTGACCTTTTACCAGCTGCCTGGGTGGGTCTGGCTTGGGCTTTCTCTCCAGGCCATCAAATCGTTCATTCCTTGGCCCATGCCACAGAGTCCTCTCCCTGGCAGCTTGACATCAGTCCAAGCTGGCAGCCTTGGTCCTGTTTTCCTCCTTTAGGACAAGGTTATAGTCTGAGTCTTTTGTCTCTCCATACGACATGACAATGAACTTGTCAATGACCATAGAATCATGTCTGGGATTTTTATTCTGATCACTTGATGACGCTTTTACTTTAAGGCCCCAGCTGTCCTTGGCTGATCAATTAGAAACAAGTTCACTTTTGCATAATAAACACGTTGTGGTCACAGCATTAGTTCCAGGAAGTGTTTCTTTTGTTTCCTTTTTTTAATCTACTGTTGTATCTAGAACTTCAAGTATGAAGTATTTCCTTTGTTTGCTTTGTGGTTCTGGGGATGGAAGCCAGGGCCTCAGACACCGCTGGCAAGGGCTCGCCGCTGAGCTGCACCCAGCTCAGTAAGAGCCTACTTCCAAGGGCTGTACACACCGCACAGATGTCTTCACGTGGCTACCTCGTGTTTCTACCGAGAAAGCCCTATAAAGCTGAAGTTTTGTCATGACTCAGAAATGAGTACCACATTAATTACCTTGTATTTTTATTGATTTTTGGGAAAATAAACTACATGTGTATTGAAGGACAAAGTTCCAGATAAACGCCAAAAGTGTTAAAACTTCCCAAAAGATTATGTGGTTAAAGAAAAAATATATACACCTTTCTTTTTGTTAGTGATAAGCATGTGATAAGAAAATAGCATATGTGAAAGACTAAGATATTACGTAATTCTCTCAATTCATTGCTTGTGAGTTCTCTTTTGCATTTCTTAGCTGGAAACTTTGTAAATCATGACTGAGTGAGGCAGGTGGGGCTGGTGAAGATTCATTTCCCTGGTGGTTCTCTGACACTGCATCCTGTCAGCTGCCGTAGGAGCTCTCAGCCAGCTTGGTAACTCAGCTGGGGCTGTCCCCATGGTCACCCTGCCATCTCCCTGGGCAGACGAATGGTGGCCTGCTGCCAGAGACTGGGGAGCTGTCCTCTAGTGGGAACAACCTATGTGACATCCCCTAGAAAGGAAGACTGAGGAGGAATGGATACAGAGAGGTGGGCACCACTGCAAGAAGGCAGGAGGCCTCCATGGGGCAGTGAGAGACTGGGAGTTGAGGACAGGCAAGAGACACAGGGGACAGCACCTGGCATGGGGTTGAGTTGGGCTCACACGCCACTCTGCCAGTACCAGTAAGACCCAATGTCCAGGTCACTGCAGCTCACGGGAGTGAGGTGCCTCCACAGACTCCAGCAGTGCTTGTTAAGGCGAATGCACTTAGGTCTGCACATGTGAGTCTGCAGTCTTTGGGTGCCCATTTCTCCTGACAAGAGGGATTGAGGCTATTCTGTCATTGAAATGTAGGGTGGAGGAAAAGTAACTGATTTGTTTGATAAAACCCTTGGTCTATATAATTTCTTTGAGTTTAAAACAATGCAAGAACTCACTCCAACAACAACAACAAGGAAAACGTTAACTTTTTCTAAAAATTTAATTGCAGAACTATTTACAGGGAGTGAATATCAGCAGTACAGACTCAAGTGAAAGAGATTATTAGAGAAGAGTTTGGGGGAGTGGAAAGCACATTTTTCTTACAGTCAGATGAGAATTGTGGAAAAAATCTTGGAAAAAAATTCTTAAATGCCTTAAAACACTAACCAACTTCTGATGAAAAGTTACTAGCAAGACACAAGAGACAGCTGAGACTAAGAGCACCCATCCTGATCAGAAGCCTGCAGGCCACTGAACAGAATTTATCAAAAAAGCCCACAAGAGCATGGAGAGGGGAATCTCATGAAGGGGTCTCGTCTCTGAAATGTGACTCTGTAGGGCTAGGAATGCCTGGTGCTCTGTCCTCGAGCCTGCTATGAGTTCGCGCCTGTGGTCACATGTACCTGGACTTGGCTGCCTTTGTTTCGAACTGTGACTGGGCAGTTGGCATCTTGGTCCAAGCATTCTGGGAGTTTCTTCAGAGGTGTTTAATTTGGACCACATTGGGTGTCTGGTATGGAGTGGGCATGTGGGGGCGGCTGTGTCCCCACAGCAAGGTCCTGTACCTGAGGTACATGGCTTGCCTGTTGGAAATCAGGGATGGAAAGTATCCCAGGGCTTACAGGTTGTCAGGGAAACTCTGAACTCAGCAAACTGGCTGGAAAAGGGTAACGAGATATTCACCTGGGCCCTTCAAAGGAGTGATCCGAGTGGAAAAGACTGGGAATGGGCCACGGTGGCAAACTGAGGCAGATCAGAGCAAATCAGAGAGCAGCTGGGGTGTCTCAAATGTTCCCACCCGCCTCAGCTCCCTCCTGCAGACTCGGGCTGAGAGTCCTTTGGGTCTAAGTAAGCACCAAGGATGGAGAGTTCCCTAAGATCTGAGAGAGAAGGGAAGTGACCCTCTGTCATCTCGCCTTGAGTGCTTACAAAATCTTAAAAAGTAGTTTTACGGGGCTGGGGATTTAGTTCAACGACATAAGCACCTGCCTTGCAAACAGGCGGTCGTGAGTTCGATCCCTGGTACCAATAAAAAAAAAAAAAAAGAAAGAAAGAAAATAGTTTTACAGTAGGTAACTGATGTTTCTTCTGCAAAGTCATCTACAGAGTTCAGACTGAAACTTGGGATGAATGCTGCCTGGGGTGGCTGCTGGTGGAGCTGTGGACCTGCTCACTGGGGCAGGGCCGAAAGTGGCTTCGTCCCCAGGCCCCGGGCACTCACTCAGAGCATGCAGAGGGCGGTGAGCAAGCTGGTGCAGCCGGTCCACGGTGCTCCCTGTGTTTGTTCTTCTGCCTCCAGAAACTGAAATCAAAGTCAGCAGGAAAGAAGGCCCCTCCCATCATTTCTCCATCTCCAGACCCCCATCCTGCTCTCGACACCCTGCTCCACCAAGCAGGACCCCAAGAATAAGTGGCCATGGCACCCTCCATCAGCCTGGCTTTGCTGGAGATGTGCGCATCCTGCCTGGACACTTGCTACACCCCTTCAGGGCGGGGGGGGGGCAGTGCTCAGGGGTAAGGGCACCCACTGGAGGGGGCCGGGCCCCTTACACCCACAGTTCAGGAGTCAATGCTGAGCCGTACAGCGTGTCTGAGGGCACAGTGAGCGAGATGTAGTACATTTGCTGGCTCCACTTACTAAAGAGTAACTGATGACACCACTGATCTCTTATGCTTCCATTTTCTATTTGATTTTCAAGGTTTCAGAACTCTACATGTGACCCAAAGCTAATAAGAAGTAGAGCTAAATATTCAGATAAAACAAGAGAATACTCAGAAAGTTTCAATGAAGTATGATTTGAAAACTAGAGAAGTGTGAGACACTGCTCCCAAGGTAGCTTGTCCTAGATGATGTTACTAGGGTGTTCCATTTGCAGGGAAAACCAAGAAGTCTGAGGCTAGAGAACAGATGGCTGGGAACGAACACATGGAAGAACAGGTTTATAAGCTGGGCCCATTTCTGGGACCTGGTTGGTTCCAGTTCCAGGCACAGGGACAGAGGGGGTACCTTGCCCCTCACCCCTGGTGCTATTTCTGTGTCACATTGGGTTCCTATTGGACATGTCCTCTCCTGGCCCCTATGTCTGTCCTTCCAGATTCTGGGGGGTCCCTTCTGCCACACTGGCTGTGCTGCTTTAGACAGGATCCAGCCTCTGCCATCGGACATGCCTGTGGCAGATTCTGCCCTGGGCCCCCTATCAGATTTCTAGCAAGGCTGGATTGCAACTCCAGTCTGACCTGGGTCTCCCTGCAAGGCTCTCTGGGTCCTAATTCCTCAGTTTCATGGAAGGCTGAGAGAGGTTGGCCTGGTTCTGATTGCTTTTGCCAGCAGCAAAAGGCCCCTGCTCCCCACAGGCTTCCCAAGGCTTGGCCTTGTTGGAGAGCACATTGGGGAGCTCTAACTATGCATCTATAATCCTCCTGTCCTCTGCACAGAAACCCTTCCTGTGTGTGGGATAAGGCGGAGGGGTCCCTAGACACAAACTGTTATGGCTTATTTCTAGATATCCCCTGGAAGCCTCATGCAGTCATGGCTGGGGCTTTTTTGGAGGTGGCTGAATCTAGAGTGTGTGATGCTGCAATTGATTCATACTGCAATGCTAGGATCAAGGGCCCTGAGATTAAGGGTGTAAATGCTACCTGGCCTAAGTAGTCTGGGTAAAGTAATAGAGGCAGAGAGATACTGTTAAGGTCCCTTGAAGCTTTGCTGCCTTTTTGCCCCCCTTGAACTATTGCCCCTCTGCTGAGCTGCCCTGTGTTGGAACTAGTCGATTATGGACTGAAACTTATACAAACTGTGAGCTAACTAAACCTTTCTTCCTTTGGATGTCAGGTATTTTGTCTCAGCAATGAGAAAATAAGTAAGACACAAATGAATGTAATATGCAGCATGTTCCAACAAAGTCAGCACACACAGGCTTCGTTTACTATTACACTAAAAAATGGTGACACCGAGCTCTGGCACACAGCGACACACGCATGCAGCTGTATCCTGATGGTAAATCTGGCCACTGCCATAAGGCCAGCAGGAAGAGATTCCCTGTATGTTGCAGGTGACTGCTTTTGTGGCTTACTTTTTTTAAAAGAGGCACCTTGAATGTGATTTGTATTTTCCTAATAATGATATACCTTTCTGCTGAATGCTGTAAGTCTTCAGGATTGGAGTTGAAAACATGGACAACACTTCCTTTTAAACAAAAATGTAATTTTTTGGTATACAACAGTGCAGTGCTTTGTACAGCATTCTAGGATGGAGATATAAACTCATGGAGGAAAACACAGTAAAAATCGTTACTGGGGACGACGGACTTTACATCAGACGCAACAAGATGGAGACATTGGATGGGTTACACTGAACACATCTTGCTCCACACGGCCTTCTTCCTGCGCTGGGTGCTGGCCCTCATACTGTTTATTTTGTCAGTTTTTGAGAGACAACTGAGGCACCAGCAAGCCTGCTGGTGTGAGGACGTCCCCAGCCCTGGCTGGGCCTCTAGGAACACTGGCGAGTGGCTGCAGGGGACATCAACCCTCACCACGATGCTGCTGGCACCATGCAGCACTACTTCCAGCCATGCCCTTGCATTCATTCACAGTGTCTTATTCAGATTGTATGTTAAATGTGGTGGGGGGCCCACGCCAGAGCTCTCACCCCTTCTGGAAGTGACAGGCACAGCCGTCACGGGAGTGCTGCACCAGAGGGCTGCCAAGGGTTTGGATGCTTTGCACAAACAATATGGTAACATGGCTTATCTTCCTGTTCCACGACAGAACATCACCTGTATGGGAGCTGGAGGTATTCCATGGGACAGGGACACAAGTGAATGACGCTGGCCACTAGCAGCAGGCATCTGCTCCGCCAAGGCAGGAGTTTCTTTGGAATGTGGTAAACCAAACGGGTACATCCTCCATGTCCAGTGGGGACCAGTATGCAACTTGGTGGAGGGTTTACCTGCTCGGCTAGGGATGGGGGAGGTCAAGACTTAGGGGACTGTCAAATAAAAGTGATTGGGCAACAAAAAATCAACCCAAACTTATTTGGTTCAAGTTGGGACCTTAGAATTTGGAATCTAAGACAAATCATATCAGTTTGCTTTTATGTATTCTATGAAAGTTCCAGGAATAAGATAAAATCCATCAGCTGCCAGGAGGTGCTGGGATGTGAGCTGGTGGCCTGCACACGCGCATTCTAGTTCCCTAATCCAGGAGCATATAGATTTCACTTGTCTGTAGCCACTGCTACACAGGGGTCCCTCTTAAATACTACATCACTTTAAACATCCAAAATGCCAGCACTTACAAGTACATGTGCTTTTAACACAGTGGAGTGAGTATAGGAAGAAGCGTCATTGTGGTACACTATTCAGGGTTTAGGTGTTTATTTAATAGAAAAATGCTTTGAACACTCTGGGGAAATAGGATTCAGTTATAGAAGAATATTTCGGGGATTTTTTTTTTTGCATTTTTCAAGGATATACATTCGTACTGATTTTTGCTTCCAAATATATTTTAAGGCTGTTTGGTAAAATATATACCAGATATGAGGCTCAATTTACAGGGTTTTGTTCTTACAGGGAAGTCTTAACTATTCAGCTTTAAAAAAGTAAAACTTTGAAGCTCGACATGCTTTAATACCCACTGTACCCCAGTGAACCCCATGCTTGGTGGAATGTCGACTATGAGGGGGGACACAGCCCATGGATGCCCACCACGCGGCGCCTCGCCAGTGCACACGCGTGGCCGCGCCGTAGGGCCGCAGTGAGCTGGGCACGTCTTAAAGTGCGAATCACGAGAGAAAACAAAGTGCTACAGGGTTGTCGAAAGCTTTCTGCCTATGGCTAAGCACAAGGTGCTCCTTGAAGCAGCAAGAAGGAAGACCTGGTATTTGGGTGGAGACATCTGCGGTTGCGAACCCGCCTCTACCTGGAGGGGCGCTGCAGGCACAGGGTTAGGGCGGCGGCAGGCTCCTGGCTGCAGCCCAGGCGCCGGCCGAGCTGGGGCGGAGCAGCCGCACGGCGGCGGCGGCGCAGCGCACTGGTGCAGGCAGCCTGAGAGCAGAACTGCCCTTTCCCTCTGTCGCCACTGGAGTCAGGATGACTCGTGACCTGGCTCAGGTTCCACGGCTGGAGATCACCATGCGCGGCCTTTTTTCCCTTCACGTCTAACACAGGCAAGAAATATATTCTTGACTTCAGCAATACTGCATAGGACAAGATAATTCTGGAAAAATACAAGTGTAAACTACACTTCTTCTTTACCATTTAAACTGCAATATACTTACCACTCACATTCATATTCTTGTACTTTTGACAACATCACAACTGTCATTTTATACAAGCAAACTCTTTTTTTAAGGATACCCTGGAACATCAACTGATAGAGCAGTTTGAAATGTATATACACACATAAAAAAAACCCACATGGAGCCTAAGTGGTGAAAACATAAAGAAAATGCTCTGCGAATGCCTCAGGTTGCAAAGGAATAAAAACTACAATGGCTGTTTCAGAGAAGTGGACAGTTCTTTCTCTCATGCGCCCAGCTTTCTGAGGCTCCTGTCCCTTCCCACGCAGCCCTCCCAGGGGAACATTCCACTGGTCTCTGAGCGTCGCAGGGTGTGTGGAGCGGGTTTGGACTTGGACCCTGCTGGGGTTTGGAGAACCGCGGGTGAGAGTATGGGGGTGGAGACCCCTTTCCATAACCACACACTCGACACACAGGAGCCAAGAGCTTTCTATGGGTGACATAGAAGACTAGGACAGCTGGGCTTGTGGAGAGGGACGCTGACTAGTGGGGATGGGTCTGTCTTTCTTGCCCTTCGGGGGGTAGCACCTGCCACTTGGGGTGTCTGATGCCTCTCGGGAGTGGTGAGATGCATCCATTTGCAGCTATGTATTATTCTTATCTCTAGATATCACACAATGTATAAAAATAGAAATCACAAAATGTCATGTGGGCTCCACCTCCAGAGGCCTGTGTGGTCCTCTGAGGGCACGGAGGGCAGCAGGCTGACACCATGCCTGCCCCTCAGGGCGATGGAGTCACCCGTCATGGAAGGAACTGTCCTGGCTGGTGCGCAGAGGCGATCGAAGGCATCCCGCTGTGTTTATGGAACAAAGACGGCAAGGGCACGGTCAGGGGAGGAAATGAGACGAACGTGACCGTGACAGTAGGCAATAAACTGTACAGCGTTTGTTAAAAAGAACAAAACATGTCGCCGAGTCAGGTCCTCAGAGTCGGGTCTGGGCCTCCGGGATGTAGATCTCGATGCTGTCTGCCCGCTCGGTGGCCGAGTTCTGGCGGAAGGAGGCTGCTCGCTTGGCCGCCATGAGCCGCCTGCGAGCCTCCTGGCGCTGGCGGTCAGGAAGGTCCAGAGACTTTTCTCTCGTGATGGGAAATTTCCCCTTGGGGGGCTTCTTTGGTATAGGAGGGGGGACCTTCCTTTCCTCCTGAAAAGGATCACACATAGGAAATGGTCAGGGCGGAGCTCCATGGGTGTGGGGCCCCACCAGCCTTGCGCCCTGCCGAAGCCCAGGGTCTAGTCGCTCTTCCCACTCTCGCTGGCCTCTGACCCTGCATCCCCTGTCCTCCACATTCTCTCCCACTCCCCAGAGGAGGCAGAGACGTTGGGACGGTGTACAAATGAGGAGACACCGCTGGGCATGATACCTGACATGTCCTCCGCCTCCTCAACTTTGGAGGAAGGCTGACCCTCATCCCATACTTTCCAAAGCACCATGTCCTGTCTGATGCTGGCATATACCTTACAGAGCATGCGGGCACTGTCATCTAATGTTACTGTCATTGGCTGAACCAGAATTTCATGTATGCTCATGAAAATAGGCTATGTGGGCAGGTGTCCCAGGGAATCACTGGCCAAATTCTTTAATAACCTAAGAACCTCACTGACATTAGAGTGTTTTCACATGTAGGATGATTTACCTTTTGCTTGATAAAAGGATGCAAATAATTATTTCTGACTCTCAGTTCATGTTCTTGAATAAATCTCACCAAAAAACGTGGATGCCTTTTTCAGAAAGATAAATTTCACAGTTTTGCAACAAGCAGAATACAGGATGCTCACAGCTGTTCAGTGACAAGTTTGCACTCTGTGGTCTTCAGTGCCATGCCTTCCCCTGACCCAGGTATTGTCTTACAGTGGTTTCCTTCTCAGAAAGGGCACAAGACAGAGGAGCCAGAGCTTTCCTGGGGAGAGGGTCACAGCCCCACACACCTCCCTCCCACGTTCCTGCCTGGCTGGGGAAGGCGGTTGCACAGTGTGGCCTGACTCTGCAGGCCTGGCCCCCAAGGCTCTGAACTAGGGGTGAGAAGCTGTCTTGGTGTCTATGACTTTGCCTCTGCAGTGCACATCACCAAGACTGAGGCCAGAAGCTCTCTCCTGCCTTCCCGGAGTGCTGAGTGGTGAAGCAGTTCACCCGCAGAGCCCTCTCAGCACTGGAATGAGCACATGCTCTCAGCACATGGCCAAGCTTCTTTTTCACTCCCCTCCACGTTGCAGCCTCTCAGTGAAGGTTCAAAGGTTGCCTGCGAACCTCTGTGGTCAGAGCTTGGGAGCCTATAGTGAGCTATGGCCCAGCTCAGAACAAACTGGACACCTATGTGGAGCCAGAGCCTCTCCTGCAAGAAATGGGTCAGTCAGACACTGCCTTCTTGTGCTGGGTGCTGTGTGCTCGCTGAGGGCCCATTTCACTGAGACTCCTTCTTTACATGTGACTTGGGGAGTGGAGGGATGGTCAGGAAAAGAGAGGGCTTCTGTGTGTATCTGGGTCCCCTCAGGATAAGCTCGTACTCGGGGTCAGCACTGAGCATCTCCTTCTCCTCACAACCAAGCCACAAAGCAGGAGCTCCTGTTTATGGCCCCAGAGGTGTCCAGGCTTGGCTTCCTTGGGATCAGTGGTAGGAAGGGTGTCCTAGGTATCACCTGTGGCCTCTGGCCTGGAACTCCACTAGGCACCAATGGCACCTTTCAAGGAGGTGCAGGGGAAAATAGCCTACACTGGCTTTTGTTCTTGCTGTGTAGCCTAGGTTTGCCTCAGACTCACAGCAGTCTTCCTGCCTCTGCTTCCCAGATCCTAGGATGACAGGTGTGTGCACCACACAGGGCTCTCCACTGATTTTTGCTCTAATGATCCAGGTGCCTGCATGTTAGACACCACCTCTCAAAAGCATGCTGGATTGATTTTCTTTGTAAGTCTGTTTTAGGGGCTAATATCTGCCTGGAAAGTGCAGGCCATGACTGCTTTTCTGAAGCATTTGGGTGTCATTGTTTGCAGGGCTAGATCAGCCCTGGCAGCTCTACTGCAGGTGACTCCACTGTGGAGGAAGATCCAACTCAGGCTTAATGCCACTATCTTAGGGCCAAGGCTGACAGATCCACAGAGAGATGGCACCCACAGGCCATTTGGTGGGGTAGGATGTCTTGTCTCCCACTGCAGCCCTGTACATGAAGGCACAGATGGGTGAGAAACTGCAGCAATCTCTAAGGAGATTGTCTGAGCTAAAATAACTCAGAAAGACCCCACAAGAGTCATGGACACAGAGTCACACATGCTCTGGGGTGCAGGACACTACACGGTGTCTCCCCAGCTTCACTCTGTGGTGCCCACATGTGTGCACAGGCGGGCATAATCACTGAGTGTTGGGAGACCCAGATCCCATGCCATCAGGAACGAACCATTGCTGCTCATGGGTTAGACACCATGAGGCACTGACGACAGCTCCTTGCAGGACCTTGGGCACAGGGCGCACTCACCTTCCTCTCCGGAGACTCGATGATCCTCCAGTCGTTGAGCTTCAGCTGGTGCAGCTCATCAAACTTCATGCTGACGTCCTCGACGGACAGCTGCAGCATGTCCCAGTAGCCGGCCAGGTCTTGGGACGTTGGTCTCGGCATGGCGCTGGGGTCCTGGAGAGACAGGGTTTCAGATCCTGCCACAGAGCTGGGGGGCCACTTATCCCCACGAGTGCCTCCCAGAACCAGACTGGAGAAGCCTGGCTCTTCAAACACTGATGCAGTATTGGGGAAGGTTCCCAGGCTTGGACCAAAGCCCTTTGCAACGTGTCTGTGGGTGGATCTTCCCCGTGCAGCACACCCCTCTCATGATCCATGTTGGGAATTCGGGGGACAGTGGTGATGGTTAAAGTCCAGATGCTCAATGGTTCACACAACCAATGGGGTGGGGGAGGGCAGAGCACTAGGGTTTTGAATTTTTGTAAAGGGACCAGGCTGAGGGAGGGCTTGAGTGGGGGCAGCAGATAGGCTGAGGGCCAGTTCGGTGTTTATTCTGATGGATTTCAGCTCTGCACTGAGAGTCAGCAACACCTTACAAACCTCAGGTCTATCTAGCTTGTGCCTCCGTGCAGGGTCAGAGTCTCTCCCACCTCTGAAGGCCAGGTGGTGCCGCCCCTTGGAATGTGGCCTGAAATAGCTCCGTGTCTGCATGGTGCCTGTGCCCTGGGCGCCTTGGGTCCTGACCCACTCGGGCACTGCTCTGTGGGGGGCTCCTTTGGCTCAGCAGGCTCAGCCTGGTCCCCCTCAGTGACCAGATGCTGATCTGAATTTGCTCACAGTGTGTGAACTTCTGGCTCACACCTCAGTTGTTTGCACTGAGCCTCTGCTCACTTCTGCTCTGTTGGCTCAGATTTCCTCTGATAGGGTTTAAAGTCCATGTGAAAGCGACCCCGTTAGGCATCATGCCTGTCTCCTGTGTGCAGCCCACGGAAGTGTGCACTGCAGCTGTCAGGGCTCAGAGAGGGGGCCCTGTGCCCTAATCCTGCCCAACTCCAGATCTAAAGCTGCTTCCTGACAGAATGGAGTCTGTTCTCCTATGAACCACTAGAGGGCGACCGCTGACCATCACAGGCTCAAGGTCCCTCAGGTGAGAAGGTTCTGTATGAGGTTCCACATCTGTCACCAATGGGGCACAGGACGACTGGACACTCACAAGCTGGACTGGAGGTATCCCTGTCAGCCTGTGCTGAGATCACATCGAAATGATCAAAGAACCAGATAGAAAACCGACTTTGAAACTGGTGGAAGATAACACAGGGGAAGCCCTGGAAGCCAAAGGCACGGGCAAGGGCCTCCTGAACAGGACTGGTCACACAGAAGATGGTAGCAAAACTCAACAGTGGGAGCTCCGAATCACAAAGCTTCCGCATGGCAGAGGAAAGAGCCCACAGGACAGGAGAAAATCACGTGGCTTCTCCCCTGAGGGAGGGTTCACCTCTAGGGCGCATAGGGCCAATTGTCTGCCAAATGCAGTGAGGCACACTGAGCAGCAGCCTCCAGATTCGGGGTGCTGCTATCCTGTGGCAAGTCCCCTGTACAGCTGCACCCCGAGGATGCCTGCTGTGGGCACCACCTCGTATCCGGTCTGCATTTTCTGGGGCTGCACCTTTGGTGTAAAGCTTCGTTCCCTCCTCAAACATCCAGCCACCAGCCATGCACCCAGAGGCTGAGGCCTGCAGGTTACCACGCACCCAGGTCTGTCTTCAGCAGGACTTGACTGTCAGGCTGGCTCAGAGCCCCCACCCAGCCCCACCCCTGCAAGGGTTTCAGGCTCTGCTAATGCTGAATAGCAGCAGAAGGGAAAGGAAGCAGCCCAGGCAAATCAAAAGGCATCCACCACGATAGACGTCTCAAGCCCCATAGTAGCTGCTTCTGGGCGGCAGGAGGAGCACACACTCCTGGCCTCAGCATGCGAGGTCCCGCTGGGCAGCACAGGGCTCCCGGCACCAAGGCAACTCCTGTGTGGAGATGGGCATGTGGACGGCACTCACGGCAACCACGTGTTTACTCACTGCCCCTCTCCTTTCAGTTTATTCACTGACTCAAACCTCCCCGACCCTGACCCTCTGTGAGTGCTAGGAACTAAACTTAGGAAATGCTCTGCCCCTGAGCCCAGCTCCAGTCTGGCCCTTTCTAAATGCCAGGAGGCTTTACATTCGAGGGCACACACTGGCACCTCTGAATCTGGCAACGGCCACAGTGGGCGAGGTGGAAAGCACTGGAGGCTAACGTTGCAAACTGCACACAGAAGCAGTCGGAGGCCCTGCTGCCCACCAGGCAGGCTACACAGAGAAGTCTGCAACCACGGGAAAAGCTGAGTGCGCAAAATCAAGGGATGCACTGTGAAATCACCTATAGGGACACAGAAGCCACATGGCTGTGATGCTTGGAGTCACGTAAATAGTTTCTGCAGTGAGAAACAAAAGCACACGTGTACATGTGTAGGTGCATACATGCACCTCTCAGTGTCTACAGAGGAGCAGACATAGATACATCAGTGTGTAGATGCCTATGAGTGGCTCTTCCTCCCCTTGGCCTGTCAGGAGAAACCAGATCTAATGCCAGCTGAATTCACAAATCCAGCGCATCTGGACTGTACAATGGGAAGGCCATGCTACTTCTCTCTTCCTAATCTCTGTAGGTGTGTGTCTCTATTCTATGGCATCCTCTGGTCATTTCCTTTGCCTGTGCTCTTGGCCACAGCAATGATTAAGTTCCCAGCTCCTCCTGAGGTCTTCTGAAGAAACCTAGCAGGAGAGGACAGGCTTGCCACCTCTAGGACCCCCAGTCTCTTCTAGCAGGGAATACACATTTCATAGCCCAGCTCTGACTTAGCAGAAGTCAGAGCCTGACCATGTGACCCTGGGACCTGGGCTGTGTGACTGTGGGGACTGGGCCATGATGGGTTCCTAGGGCTGGGATACAGCCTCTCTCATGAGCTCTCTTGTTTGCCATGTACATACAATGCTTTAGCCCGCCAGCAGCCCAAGCACGGGCAGGGCCATCCATCACTCACCATGTTCTGCTGGCAGAGCCAATAGAACTGCTGGAACTTCTGTGACATGAGCAGCTGGGCACTCCCCACTGCGCTCCGGATCTTCCCGAGAACTGTGGGAGACAGGACAGGTCAGTCAGGTCAGGTGGGGCCAGGAGCAGAAGGGCTCCACCCCAGAGAGTGGCCAGCATTGGCCCCTCACACTGCCATGGGCACTGGCACTGCTGGGTGTGGGCTGAACTGCTGGGCACCTTTGAGGTTCTGATTCCATGAGGGCAGCAAACTGCACGGAGACATTAAGTTTAGAGAAAGCACCCTGCTGGTACCTCACTGACTGGATGAAAGAATCTTTAGCAAGTGTGAGCAGCTGCCCCAGAGCACTGCCTCGAGATGCATCTGAAGGACGCAGAAAGAAGACACAGGAAGAAGAGACACAAGCAGCATGGCACTAGCCCCACACAGAGTTCACGGTGTGGCTACTTCTGGAATTGGACTGGACAAGTGGATGAAAGGGACAGCCACACCTTTGTCCCCAGCTCCCCTCCTGCCTCTTGGTCTCACTGTCCCTTTGCTGTCTTCTGCCCTTTCTTCTGTGGTTTTGTGTGAGCACAGCCCTGTTCTGGAAAGGCTGCTAGACTGACCCCAACTCACAGCCTCCAAAGCCACCTACAGATGGACAGGAGCTCATCTTCCCACTGTCCTGTCCTCTCTGCAAGGCTTCATGAGAAGCCTTGCAGGGAACTCCATAGCTGCACAGCACACTTGTTCTGTTTCTCATCTCTGGTTGTCTGGGGCAGGGAGCTGACTGAAGGGCAGGGTGTCCCAAGCACAGTAGCTCATCAGGCCTTGGTCAGCAGCAGGGGCACTGCAGAGCCATCTTCCAGGTGGGAACTTCACGAGCAGCTTCCTTCCTGGAGGAGCTAGTCCAGTGGGGAATCCTCTATCTCTCTAGCAGTCTGGGGTCACACCTTCCGCACAGTCTCCCTCAAGGTGGGCTACTGAGCACCTAAATAATTACCCTGCACTATGCACTGAAGGCATGGCTAAATTGCTAGTTCAGTCTGCTTTCCCAGCCAGGCAAGCGCCTGTCCCCATGATCGGGGAGTGTGACTGAGGGGAAGAGGGTGTGTTCTCTGGAGATTTGTTCTGAGGAAAAGCCAAAGTGAGAGATCCATACAGCAGTGAGCTCAGTGGTCTGCAGTTCAAGACAGAGTGCTTATGCTCAGGAGGGAGGGAGGTTTCATCTGGAGAAGTGGAGGTGACTGGTGCCTCTCTTCTTTTAAGTTGCAGTACAGCAGGAAGGTAACATGAGACATGAGGGGAGAGAGCCCATGTTAATACATAGAATCTATTCACGTTTCGTGTGCACCTTGCACACACAGCTTGCCGGCCATCCCACCCAACAGGTTTGGTATGCCTGTGCCTTGTCTGCAGCCTGTCACCTGGGGTCAGGGGCAGCATTTTCCCCCTGTGGCAGACATCCTGTCAGGGTTCAGAATGTGTGAAATTTGAAGCATTTTGGATTTGGAGTTTTCAGATTAGGGCTGCCCAGTGTGTGCAGATTAAAGAGGTGAAGATTCCAGCTGGGGTGCAGTGAGAGGAGGAGGGCTCTAGGGTGGGAAGGTGCCAGTGGGTGGGGCTCAGGGCGTGGCCCGGGGGGAGGGTGTCACCCTCACAGATTTGTGGCCTACTGGCAGCTGCTTCCAAGGCCTGGCCGCTGGCTGGAGAGGCGCATGCTCATGTTATAGCCCCACTCCCATTAGGTCTGTCTGCTTCTTTTGTATTCTGGTACCCAAGTCAGTGCAAATATGCAGACGGGCTTGTTTTAATCGAGTTGTCACTGCAGGAATGTAGAAGTGGCAAATAAGAGCACTTGATTCACTGAGCCCATTTCTTCACACTGTAATTAAAAATTCAATGATTTTTATTAAAATTCAAGCTTTAATTTGTAATCTTCATATTCCTCTTACAATGGAATTCTGCTGAATGGTAATATAAAGTACTCCAATGTGACGTGACTACGTGGCTCAGTCTCTGTGTGGATGCAATGGACTGGAGAGTTATAAAAAGTATAAATTGAATATTGCTAGATGAGATAATAAATGTCAGAGGGTAGCCAATGATGTGACTGCTAATGGCAGGAGGCTTCTGCTGCTCATTGAGAGGGAACAATCCTATCTGATGCCTATAATGTAAATAGCTTCCTATAATTGCACGGAATTTGAAGTGAAAATCCAATTTATTCTTTTCCACTATACTTCCCTAATTTTGTCACAATTTAGACATTTTTCTTCTCCAAAGCAAAGATAAGGACTAATGTTCATCAGAATGCAAATTTACAAAGAACCTGATGTAACCCTTGCCTTTGATGTACAGAGAAATGTGATTAACTTCGTTGGCTCTCTAATTTATTTTTCATGCATCTTCTATAATTTCCAATTTCATGTAAATTTTCCTCGAAGTGCCAGGAAAACAGCCCCACTGTTCTCATGTGTTGCAGTGTTTGCAGGCTGAAATAGTTGCTTGGCCACTGACAGACCTTCCTCCTGGCCAGACCTGCCACATGTATGTGGCTGCAGCTGCTCCCTGAATCTGCTCACCCCAGGGCCTCAATGGCTCGTCACCTCCAGAAGGCCACATAACTGTTGAGGCATTCAGGGTCCCTTCATACCCATGGCACAGGTCTGGTCACTGGGTCTTCTCATCCTGGGCACACAGGGGCACCGCTGTGTCAGCAGCTTGGCTAGCCGCTGCCAGCTGGCACACAGCGATCTGTGCTGCTCGTACGATGATCGTGGCTTTTCTGTTTTCTTCCGTAGGGACCCGAACCCTTGGGCTGGCCAGAGATGAGGTACAGTTTCTCTGGCCATCTCCTCTCATCCTGTGTTGAGTGTGGGCTCTGTTCCTTTGTCACCACTCTGTCTTGGGTGGGTGCCCACTGCCTTAGATACTTGCCCACATGACTCTTGTGTCTCCTCACAGAGGTGGCTTGGGAGACCTGATGTGCGATGCTGAGGTCCCCACTCATCTGGTGCTAAAGGAGGGAGTGAGTCACCACAGGCTGCTCAGCATTTGGGAGAACCTTCAGGTCAGCGGCTGCTGGGGGGAAGCAGAGCTGGCAGCAGCTCCCTGGTCCTCGGAATGCGGTGTGCATGGCACCCACTCACTTGTTGGGGTCTTCTGAGCGCCCCCTGGCCAGGCCCAGGATCTGCCCGCCACAGCTCTGGACTGCTCGGCTGCTGCTTGTTGCACAGGAGGTACCTGATGTTGTCTATTGCTGTGTTCTGCAGAATTAATGGAAGAAGGAGGCACAGCCTCCTGGAACCCTTCTGTGTGTTTGCGGAGGACAGGAAGCCTGCACAGCCGACTTCATGAAAGCCAGCGTGTGGCCCTCCTGACAGTGCTGTCAACCACAGAGGACAGAAATCCACTGCACTGCGATTATGTAGTCACTGTGTAGGCAAAAATTCTTTCATGCAGTGGAAATTTCAATACTCAGAGCTTAGAGTTTTGGCCAAATGAGCCATTTAATTCCATCTGTATTTAAAATGTGCTAAGACTAATGACTCTATCTGTTGCTAAAATTGGAACCTCAATGGGAGGTCATTTGACCTTGGAGCACCAGGAGGGAAACACCTAGACCTGGTGCGGGTTTACCTTGCAGGGAGGACGAGCGCCTATCTCCCCTGCTCTGCCCAGCAGAAGGGGAAGGATCCAGAGACTGGAAATCAGAACACCACATGACAGCACACCTGCTCGCACTGGGCTTGCTCCAGGCTTGCAGCCTGGGCTCACGCTGAGTGGCGAAGTGCTCACATTCAGGCTGTGGAGCTGAGGTCTGGGGCCCGGAGTCCCTCGCAGCAGCTCGCAGGTGGTGACAGCTCAGGCCCTTGGGCCCAGGTACTGCTCTCCCCTTCTCCTCTTCCCGAATGCAGAGCGCCCCCTGTCGGGCACTGCGGCGGCGCCCTGGAGTAGCCAAGGCTTGCGTCCACCTGGCTGCTGCTTGCAAGAAGATGGAACCGCCCAGGCAAGTGGACACAGGATCGGAGACACCCAGGGCTGTGGTAGCCTTTGGGAAATACTATGTCATGGAGGGCAGTGAGGCAGCCACTGGGCTCAAGAGGCCAGGGAGCCGGTGTCTTCCAGGTGTGTGGGCCATGCGCTCCTCTCAAGAGGAGCCCAACAATGGCTTCTGTTCCCTTCCCCTGCACTTCGTCCTTCAGCACCCCGTCCTGTTTGACCAAATCCAGCCTTCTTCTAGGGCCCAGAGCAAAGCTGCCTACTTCAGAGAGCTGGCCAGGGGTTTTCCCAATTGAAAGTATGTCTCAGATTCCTCTCTTTCTGTCTCTTTGTGTGTGTGTATGTGAGGACTGGAGATGGAACCCAGAGGCTTCACTTTGAGCTGCATCTCTGGTCTTTTATTTTGAGACAGGGTCTTGTTAAATTGTCCAGGGTGGCTTGATCTTGTGGTCCTCCTGCCTCAGCCATCCAAAGTACTGGGAGCCACCATGTCCACCTAGATCTTGGCTTTGTAAGGCATGCCATCTGAACTTTCATTATACGATATTTTCCATGGTCTCTCCTGGTCTTATTTCTCCTGGTCTTTGTCAGGTTCTTTGCTTATTCCTTTTTGAATTATTCTTACCTACAGATTCTCTGCCCATAGCCAGTGTTCAGTGGATCCTGCTGAATGTATACAGGAAGGAGAGTCTGGAAGATGAAGCCAAGTGTTCAAAACCAGTTGACAAAGCACATTTGGGTAACAGAATTGGGAGCTGCAGATGTTCCCCACACACTGTGCATCAATGGGACAGTTCTGGGTGCACTGTGTGACTCAGGCCAGTGGAGAGATACATTTGCATCTGTGGGGTGAGCCTTCACTGCTGACCAGGGACCCCCAGCTTAGAAGCTCAGCTCTGCATGTGGTGCACAGAGTTTTCTATGTGTTCTTGGATGTCCCCAGGGAGAATATTGTGACTATGGCAATGTGTCAGCACTGAGGCCTTCTAACTGGTAAGCTTTCCATCCTTACATTGGGAAGGAATTGTCCCCTAACTGGCACCTCTGGTTCCCATGCAAGGGAACCCACAGATGTGCTCTATCACCCCAGAGATTCTCTTTGGACTTCGGTGGGTATCACAGCTGTGGTAGATCAGAAAGAAGAAAATGGTTATGCACAGGGCAGACACACTTCCTAAAATAGAGGCGGGGTGACACCTCAGAGCACAGAGGGGAGGAGGCCACACCAGAGGAAGTGGTTATAGGGCAGTGCCATGACTGGGCAACCTCAGATGTCTCCTGCCACAGTGCGTTGGGTCCTGGCTCCACCACCGCACTTTGTGCTTTGGGGAGAGACATGGATTCTTGATGCCACGGTTTCCTTGTGGACAGTAATGCTTTCTTGTTCACAAGGGGAGCATAGGGTGGTTTGGGAAAACACTCAGCATGAAGCTGGGACATCATGAGTGCTCAAAATGCTGCCCTGGGGTTCTTCTTCTTCTCCTATTAGTATTTTAAACAAACAAACAAACTATAAACTTTGAGGAAAGCAACTAAATTAAAAGTACAGGGCAAGTGCTGTGTGGAAGATAATGATAAGGGTGGTATTTCTGTTTGTTTGTAAACATAGCAGCTGCAAGAGGCAGTTTACTATTTAGCATCTTGATAGGTAGCCAGCCAGGGACAGGCCTGGGCTGGAATCTGGCTGGTCGGCTGGTCAACCTTACAAAGATAACAGCTGTGCAGCTTTCTAGGGTCTGAGTGCTGACTCACACTAGCCAGACACCTAAGTTTGCAAAGGAGAAAGCAAACACGGGAAGTGACAGGAGCCAAGACAAGGATTCTGCCCCCAGCAAGGAAACTCCTTAGGCAGAAAGGAAAGCACCAAGTAAACAGCACCTCCCCACAGGCCATGGCTGGATTTCCAGGAATTTAAAGTCCCACGTAACTGGTTTCTCTTTTGAACTCTGCATTAGAAAGCCTGGGCCCAGTGGTTACTTTAAACCCATGGGGCTGCTGTAATAGGTGACTACTGGGCACTGAGCAGATTCGTGTTCTGCTTATCCATGGAAAACTCCAGACAAGGAGTCCACTCTGGCAACTGTTTTCAGGGCCCTCCCAGCTGCTGGGAGGCTTCTGTCTTTTCGCACTTCCTCTAACTTTCTCTCTGTCCAAGATTTCATTCCTCATTGTAGCAGGAACAGTAACAGCAATGGCTAGTGGCATGATTCGGAGTACTGCAACTTTCTGAATGTAGCCTGGATGCTGTGAGTTCAAATGACATCAGGAGACACCGTGATCAATGTCCAAAGGAGCTGAGCCCTGATCAGTAGGAGCTCTGGGGTCCATTGGCCTTCCCTCATTCCGCCCTCTGCTCCAGCCTCTGGTTAGCACAGTATTCCGAGAGGCAAGTGGGAGCCAGAGCTGTCCCTCTGTGTGGAGAAACTGGTCTCAGAGAGTGGGCCCGGGTCTGCAGTGGGGAGGGGGGTCTCACAAGTCACACTGCACCCCACAACAAGGGGCCATCTTGGAGGCAACCTTAACTCTTCTACTTACCTAAAACTTTCCTTTGGCACAAGGAAAGGCAGGTTTTTATAAACGTGGGACAAATGATATAAATGCTCCAGATTAAGTTACTGCTAGAATTCAGGAAAATGAGAGGAACTGTGCCCCTGAGAAGAGCAGAGTCAGCATCACTGATCTCACATTCAACCTGTGTGACCACACAGAAGCCCAAAGCCGGGCTGCCCCTGCACTACCCCAGCATCTGCACTGTCTTGTGGACCTGGGTGGGAAGCAGCTGAAAGCAAATGTATCTGCATTCACTCAGACACTGCAGGGATCTTCCCCTTGGCACTGTCACTGGTTTGTCTGCCTTCCTGTAAAAGGACCAGCGTTGGGGTGGGGCCCGGGCCAAACCTGCTTCCTTACTTTCTTCTGAGAGGTCGTTCTCTTCGGCTTCCCTCTCCATCTCTTTGCACCAGCCCTCCATCCGCTTGGTCTCTGTGTGGAGCAGCTTCAGGAACCATGAGCCATCCCTGCGGCATGGGGACATCCTCCCAGTCTCCACAGGCTCCAGAGCGGGTTCCAGCCAGGGCTCTGGGGCAGGCAGGCTGGAGGTGTCCACCTGGGTCCGATAGTCCTCTCGGTAACTGAAGAGGCCCTGCGTCCGCACAGTCCTCACCGCCCCGTACTGGGTTGGCGTGCTGGGTTCTGAGTGCCGCTGGAAGGAAGAGCCGAACTGGAGCCCCTTGTCCTCCATGGTAGTGTGGCCTGGGAAGCCTTCCAGCTCCAGGTCGGCCTGCACTGCGGCCGTGACACTGTTGGAGCGCTTGAAACGCCCATGCCTGGGGGAGCAAGGAGACAGATGTGGGCTCTCCCTCATGGACACACAGGACACACACACACACCCTGTGTGAGCCCCACTCTCTGTGCTGGACCCTGACCACTCCTATGCCCCAGGTCTCAAGAATGTTCTCAGATGTCAGCGTGGTGGATGACAGCAAGAGCCCTGGTTTGGTGGCCACCCTTCTCTACAAACACCTGCGGATGTGTATACCACCACTACAATGTGCCTGGTGAGACTTCTGTTGTATAGGTAACTAGGTCACAGGGATGCCTGTGACCTCCAGGTCCCACTGCAGGGCCCAAGTCCTCTCTCCTAGGATAACTCAGTACTGTCCCCTCTGCTCCCGAGAGCAGACATAGCTGGGACTTGTGCATTTTCTTTGTATGCATCCAAGTGTCACCATTTCAGTGTGCCTGGCCATGGGGACATGGGAGAACAAGCTCAGAATCAGAGACTGAGTGCAGTGGATGAGCACTGTCTGTGCCCAGGGCTGGTGTGTGTGTACACATGGTGGTGTATGTGTGTCCCTGCACCTGTGCACAAAGCCTGTGTGGTGTGACAGTGCAGTGTGCATGTGTCTGCAATCCCATCACTGCAGCTTGCACTAATGAGCCCATAGAGAGGCACTGCTGTGGGAGCAGCTGTGTTGAGTGGCCACTTGCTCTCTCTGCTGGTGGCGCCAGGCACTTGAGCCCCTGGGTGCAGGGTGAGCAGGTGTCAGATCAGCCTTAGTCCAGGGAAACCTTGAGCTGGAGCCTTGAAATTCCCGGTGCTCTGAGCCTTCAAAGGCCAGGTGCAGTGCCCTACTCAGTGTGATGATGCCCAACACTGTATGCACAGATGCAAACTGAAGCTCAGGGTGTGACGCTTCTGGTAAGATTTGTTTTTATGCACTTGAAAATCTACACTCACATGTAAACTAGAATATTGTTTCTGTGCTTGTTACCAAAATAACCCCATGGTAACAGAGCCTCTGCATTTGATTTTGAGGCAGTGCTTGAGAAACGAGAGAGCCTCCTGGTGTGGTGAAGTCCTGCACTGGCTTCATCCTCTCTGTCCCCACCAGGTGCTCAGCATCACACATGAGAACCTCGCCTGTGCTTCCTCCTCAGCCTCTTTCTCCTTTGGGTGAAGGCTTCGGGTTCCAGGGCCCAGCCAGGCTCCCCACTCAGTGCTGAATTACTTTAGAAAGAACCAGGGCAGTGTGTCTTGTTGAAACCAGACCCCAGTACACACTGACCCAACTTGGGCGATCCACACAGAAATGCTAAACACACAGCCCCGTGGCATGGATGGCAGTGCCACCTGGATGCTCTGGCGAGCCCAGGCACCCGGAAGGCTGCCTTAGTTACCGCTTCTCGTCTTCCACTTGCACCCCGACGGAGTGGTACTCCCGCAGGCCACGGCTCTCTGTGTCAGAGTCTGTCGCCGTTTCCACCTGATTCAACACAGAACATCTCACTCAGAACAGAACATGGGACTCAGGCCAGGGACTAGGAGTTTTTGTTGCTGTCCATTTACTGTAATTAATTACGCATTTGTTTAATAATGCTGAAATGCACTTGACCCTCTAACATCACAGAGAGAGGGAAATGCATTCGTATCAGTGTAATTATGGCTCTACTGCCTTTCACCACATTTTACATAACTACTTGAACTCAAGGCTACACTTCAGTCCTAAATGTATGCAAATAAAACTATTTAGTTCAGCTCCAGCAAAAAATATGCTTTGTTGGACTGCATTATTACAGGACTTAAAAGCTCTTATCACAACCTACAGTGAAGACAGGAAGTATAGCATGAACCAAACACAGCTAACAACAACAAATAAACAATTTAAGAGAATTATACCAATGGCTGCACTCACATACAGAGAGACATAGGCAGGGAGTGAAGTGGCCATAAGCAACATGGAGGTAAGGTCTCTACCTATGTGGCGGTCTCCTGCTGGGTGCAGGCACCCTGTAGAATCTGGGCTGGCTACTGTGGGCCTCCCACCCCGCCCAGGTGTTTTAATGATCATCAGCTGTGTAAAGTTACCACATGAGGAGATTCTAGCTCAGAAAACAACCGACTCAAAGGACCCATGAGAAGTCTATGAAACCAAGATTAATGGAGCCATAAAGAGCCTTCCAGGTGCTGAGCGTTACCTGGCTTTTGTCACAAAATATTACCTCTGATACCTAAAGGACCTTGGGCCCTTGGAAATGTCACCACTAAGCTTTAAACATTTGTCTTAAGCTGGGACCAGTTCCTGTGGGAGGGAACTGGGCTGGCACCCTGAAGTTCCAGCTGGAGCTGCAGCCTGACACACCCAAGAACAGGACTATGGTGGAGTTTGCTCTGCACGTCCTCTGCATCCTGCCAGGCTGCTTGCTGAGGGCACAGCAAGAGATGACTTGCCTAGGACGCTCAGCTCTCAAGGGTAGGGCCAGGGTTCCTGTGCTGTGTGGTCCTGCCATGCGGGCTGGGGTCAGCACAGGCGCTGGGCCTGGCAGTTGGAAGGAGTTGATGACCTCGGGGCAGCTCTCTGGGAAGAGCAGTCTCCCCTGCCCACGAGCACATCGCTTTGTTCCTCACCATGCAGCACGATGATCACAATGTGATCATAATAAAAGTGAGTATGTGTAAGGTTCCTGCAGGGATGTGGCAGTTGTCTTGTGTTCTAAATGCATGCTACCCACCAATAGTTCATGACCACAACCCAAAGCACCGAGTCAGTCTTCAGTGCAGGGACATTCTGGTCCCTTCCAGCTCTGGTGTTATTAAGGATGCTGCTGTCAGTGTGTGTCTGCACTGTGTACCTGTGTGTGAGGCACGGCTGCCAGGGCAAAGGTGAATACACGTGGATTCATACAGCCCGGTCTGACACACACGGCATGGTGAAATAACTTCATGTGTTATCTTTAGAGAATTATATCAAAGCATGCAGGTGCTTATAAACAGTGTCTTGAGTACTCGTGGACCTTGGCCTCTTGCCTGAGGGACAGTGCTGCACCCCAAATGTGTGTGGGGACTGTAGTGCAGCAGTGCTCGTTGGAAGAATTATGGAAATGGGGCTGGGGGGCAGAAGGTGACAGCCAATGCAGGGACATTTTCTCACTGATACACGCATTCACACGCCAGTGAGGATGTTCAAGCACAGAGATGCTTGGATGTGTATGACTAAACCGGGTAGGCTCTTGATGCTGGGGCATCCCCCGTGCATGTGACCCACAGAGGCAAAACCTAGTCATGGACACCTGTCAAACACCAGTGCCAAGAAGAAGACAGCAAAACATAACATTTTTTCCCCTTTAGTCTTCAAATTTTCTCTAATATAATTTTGTGAAAAATACAGCTTCTGGGACTGGTCAAGTCCTGCTACAAGCTGGTCTAGAACTGTAGGAGAGCGGAATCTTTGCATGTGTACCTGAAACAGAAAAATCTGAGCTCCCGAAAGAGTGAGTTAAAGCTTTTGGGATGGAGCCTGAGCCAGGGCAGTCTGTCTACTGAAAACATAATTCCTGGTGTTCTCATCTCAACTCTCGGGACATCAGGAGAGTCAGGCATGGATTGAATTACAACATACCAAGCGACTTTCATCAATTTCCCAGCAGCTGTCACAAGACACCTTCCAAAGACAAATGGAACTCCCTGTGCTTGGAGGCAAAGAATGAAAGGCACAGTGGAGCTGAGGTGGTCAGGAGGAGGGTACAGGTACCAGCTCTAGGAAACCTGGGCAGCTAGGGGCTTCCGGTAAGCCAGGAGCAGGGCCAAGGACAGAGCTCTGTTCTGCACAGTGGAGAGGAACCTGGGGATCTCCCAGGAAACCTGCCCACATGGGAAGGAATGGAATGTTCTGGAGCTATGTGTGCATATTCACTTGTAGACCCACAGTGTGGAGACTTCTGGGGACAAATCAGCAACATTGCCGCTTAGGCAAACTGGTCTGGGATCCAGGTTGTGTGTGAGAGATTCCCTGATGAATGGGGAAGAGAGACACAGACACAGGCAATTACATGTTGACTGCCACATGGGCTGGAGGGACCTTGAGTGCACCTGCTCAGCTTTGGACGAGGAGGGGGATTAATTGAGCCAGAATCAAGGAGAAGAGGGCACTGGCACCTGTGGTGTGTGTGAGAACGGGGAGCTTCGTGTAGCTGGCATGTGTGTGTGGTCCTCTGCACATATGTGTGTGTACGTGCATACTCAGTGCGGTGCTGATATGGATGACCTTTGGAGCGGTGGCCTCCTGTGCTCTGGTCCTACTTGCATACAGACCAGTCTGGCTGTATGCCTGGGCCAGGCACTGTGGGTCTGAGCCCAGCTTTCTGGGTTTTGTTTTCTGTTTGTTTTTTAGTACTGAAACTGAGCTACATCCTTGCCCTTTTTCTATTGCTATATTTTGAAATGAGGTCTTGCTAAGTCATTATGTAGCCCAGGCTGTGTTAGAACTTGCCACCCTCCTGCTTCAGCCTCCCAAAGTGCTACCAAGGATTTTCAGGATGTGCAATCATGCCTGGCAGCTTTCCATGGCTCCTGAGAGAAGCCTGGGCTGGTAGGGGAGGGAGCAGATCCCTGAATCTGGCAGCCAGAGCTCCTATCTGAAATCTCTTCTTTCACAGCTGGGCTGTCCAAGCCCCCTGCAGAAGTGCGTGCTTTTGATGCCAGCATGTTCTGTTTTTTGTGGGGACCCACGGCCAACCTGGAGCTCTGTGGGACCCACAGCGTCTGCTGGGGCAGCAGTGCCTCCACCTTGTAGATGCTAAAGATGCTAACCTGAGTATCTCAGGGCCTCTGAGGCTGCCCCTCGGCCCCGTGGCCAGGAAGGGATGTGCGAGGTAATAATCATCCCAGTGCAGAGATAATGTGGGGTTTCTGTGTATTGCACTAGGCTACTTCCACCACCCGAAGAGTATGGTCATAGTAGAAATGAGTGGAAGGAGAGAAGGCTGCGTGTGAGCCCTGGCTAGGCACCCATCCAGGGCACTCAGCATAATGGGAGCCTGCCCTCTCCTCATCTTGCCTGGCTCCAAGCCCGGCTGCTCGTGTGTGCCCGTGTGTGTCTGTGTGCGTGCATGTGCATGTGTATGTGCATGGTAACTTGCAGGTTCCTGAGCCTTGGCTGACAGTGGTGCTCAGCACTGGGGTATGAAGACCTCCAGTGTGTCTCATCTAAGCAAGGAAGGGAGGGAGGAGTATGGGCACAGAAGGTGCGGGCTGCAGCCAGCCACTCACAGGGCACCAGACACAGTCCAGCAGCCTCAGCTCAGGCCCAAACTGAAGTCTCAATGAAGTGGTGTGCAGTGCCCTGGGACCCTGGGGAGCTACATAAGCCACGTGTTCCTGAGGGCTATGTTCACACAAGGTGTGCTCGATGGCAAAGACTTGCAGGGTGTGCACTATTTGGAGGATCTGTGCTCATACTCTCCAGCGAGCTATGCAGGGCCAGGAGCAGCCCACAGCACTGGACTCCACACCTGTCACCCCTCTCTGTGATCCAGGCCAGGGCACCACAGGACCAGGGCAGCTTTTCTTTCTGCTCTACAAGGCAGAGACAGGGGATGCCGCCCTGGCTTCCATCAGGGCTTGGCACCTGGGCTGTGCGCCCTCAGGTAAGTCACCTGCTCTGGTCCTCTTTCTCCGCATCCATAGGTTGGCACAATAACCCCTGGCACTGGGGCTCATTATAGGCACCTGTCAGAGAGCAGGCACTGGGTGCAGGGCCAGTAGTCATCTGGTGCTGAGATCTGCTTCGTGCTTTTGCCCCTCTGCCCTGGGGTTTCTGTGTCACTCGCCTGCCCACCTCAGGGTCCACGCACTGTTTCTCTCTGGGGCATGGAGACCCACGCTCTCCTGATTGTATTGCTGTTTTATTTTCCACTGTGTTCTCCTTTTAGCTTCTCAACTATTTCACATCAACCATGGTGAGCTCATAAACCCACAGTGCAGCTTCCTTTCCAGCTAAGGTTGCGTGCCCTTGTGCACACAGGTGGTCCCCCAAGCCCTCCCACTCACAAATCTAACATTTACTGAGTGCTTGCTATGTGCCAGGCACTGTGCTAGGTGCATGGGTGCCAAGAGGCAGGAAGCGTGGGGGAGGCTTGGCTGTGGGGTGGTGGCAGGGACTGCACCCACCTGTGAGTGGGAGTGGGTGTGGATGTGGGTGCAGGCCTGGCTTCTTCCGTGGGCTCTGTCGCAGAGCACTCTGACTCATGGTTTCTGAGATCAGGCCCACGACCTCTGGGTGCGAGCAGCAGCTGCGTGCTCCGAAGGGAACATGGGGTGCACATGTGGGGGGCAAAAGGGGGTGGGCATGAGTGTCAGCAAAGCAGCTGCCCGGGTATCCACAGAACACAAGCCTTTACCACGGGCAGGGACTGGAGCCTGCTTTCTCAGCAGGGTCTGGGATGTGGGTTGGGACTGCTGAGCCCCCCATCCTCCTGTAGGTGGGCCACCCACATCCTTGGGATTCAGGGTCTGTGCTGCAGAGGGGCCCAGCATGGTGCCTGGCACATAGCGCCAGGACACAGAGTGACAAGAGCAGTTGTAGGAAGGGTCCCGGGGAGGGAGGAGGACAGTCATGCGGATGTGGCTCGGAGGCGTTTTGGTACTTACATCTGACCTTGGGTATGGCTGATGTTCAGGGAATTCAGAATCCTAAACAAAACAATGAAGCCACAGTGTGGGGACCTGGCTTGGAGGCCAGTGGGCCACTGCCCCTGCGCGCTGGCTGCTCTTCCCACCTACCCTACCTGGTGCCAGAGCCACATGGCTCTCACCACGCTCCACGCCTCTCCCTGGGTGTGGCATGGGCCTTTAGACAGCTGGTGTTTAAGGTCCACGGGGCGCAGGTGGGACTGAGGAGGGTCCTGTTCGCAGCCCCGTGGAGCCAAGTCCATCCATCAGAGGCTTAGAAGATGCCACCAGGACAAACTGAGATGTTCCTGCTGATTGGCATGCTGTGCAGCCCGAGCCCTTCTGGCAGGCTGGGCTGCAGCTGGCACTCTCCCCTCAGGAGGGTGCACCAGGCCTCCGATGGCTATGGTTACCCTCAAGCTATGAAGCTAGCCATGTGAATGGCCACAGCCATAGGATGCTGGCACTGCTGCCTGCCCCGCACAGGTGCCCCCAGGTCCCAAGTGGGACAGCTCCTTCTCAGCTCCTTGTCAGTGCCCTCTGACTCATTGGTGGCCTCTTCATGCTGCCTAGCAGCAAGGGACCCTGGAAATGCCCCTGGGGGTTCCTGAGGTGCAGCACATGGGGCATGGCTCCAGCATAAGTGCCCTCTGAGTCCCATGTCTCAGGGCCGCAACCACATCCCTGATCTACACTATGTGTGATGGGAGCACCAGGGGCAGCACGGGAGGCTACCTGCACCCCGATGGAGGAACAGCGGCTCTTGAGAAGCTCCTCGGCTACAGACGTTAAGATGGTCTTGTCACTGGGCCGCACAGGGCTGCCCTGGCCATCTGTGTGGCGCTGGGCTGCAGCCGTCTCCAGGGCGAGGTTCATGGCCTTGTTGCTATCCAGACTGTCCGTGGAGCTGTAAAGGCTGCGGCCATCCTGCGGCCATGGGCATGTCCTCTGTGCACGGCTGTCCTGGTGGGCATCCTGGGTGGACTCTGTGCTGCTCTGGGCTGTCACCGAGATGAGGGGCTTTGAGGTGGTCCGTGGTGGCACCGGTGGGGGTGTCTTCTTGTAGTTTGCATAGGAGACAGCTGCAAGAGACACAGTGCGTCAGTGGCAGCCTCCCCATGGCCTCTGGCCTACAACAGCTGCATGTTCTGCCCAGGAACCAGCCCACAGGCCTGTCTGGCTGGAGCAAGCAGTGCAGAACATGGGCAGAGCACTGCCTCAGAGGCTGACTGCAAGGTGTGTTCGCAGCAGTGAAGAAGTCATGGCGCATCTCTCAGAGACCCCAGTGAGCGCTGTGTGGCATGGGTAGGACAGAACGCAATGTTTGTGACCTCACACAGGCCATGGAGCCACCAAAAAACACTCATTAAAAAAAAACTATGAATAAAAGAGGTAGGCAGGGTCTTAGACCACAGAGATGAAGCATGCAGAGGCCTGTGCAAGGAAACACTGTTCCACTAGATGGTAACTGAGGTAACTGTTCGGTGATAAAGTCGGTATCATTTTCTCTGGCTTGTGTGCATTTCCTAAAAACCTCTGTAATGAACAGCTGTTGTCTTATGAGAGGGGAAATATCCAGGATCAGGAAGTTGTCTACCTCTGTGTGTCGGGCTGCCCTGGGCACCAGTGTGGGGTCCACCAAGAGGAGACGTCAGGCGCATGAGCTTCTGGGAGGCTGGAGGCTGGTGTCACCTGCCGCCTCCTGCCCGGAGGATGCCTGACTGGGATGCCTCCAGCAGGTGCTGTGAAGAGTGGTGGGGAGCTGTGTACAGAAGTGCAGGCCCCTTTACTACCACCAAGGTTCAGATTTTCCCACCCTGGCTTCCCTGAGAATGTGGCATCTCCATTGCTGTGATCAGGGCCCTGATTGCTTTTTTATTTACTCTAAGAAAAAGAGCTGCCTGGAGCTCTGTGAAGCTGGAGACTCACATGCTCTGCCCCACCCAGGCCACAGAGTGCTTGTGTAGGTGGTGGGGACACGAACCAGAGCAAGGGTGACACGTGCTGGGGTGGTGGTGATACACGGGGTGAGGGTGACGTGTGCTGGGGGGCCGATGACACACATAGGGTGACAGTGACATTTGTCGGGATCACGGTGACACGTGAGGTGATAGTGACATGTGCCCACGTTGGAGTGAGAGCCACATGTATTGGGGTGATGGTGACATGTGCACAGAGTGCCTGCAGGAGCACTGTCAGCATCTCTCTGGGGCCAACTAAGCACGGCTGCCTCTAGGGCTTGGGGAGCATCAGGGATCAGCTGCCTTTGGTGGCTGTGGAAATACAGACTTTTGGAGGATTCCACATGCTTCCCCGCTCCCATCCCAAACCCAACTCGATGTGACTGTGTTTGCCTATTAAAGGTGTCAGACGTCGCCCCAAGCACAGACAAGTGAAGTGAGGGACCCATCCTGCCGGCTGATGTGCACTAGAGTGTGCCCAGGTACATAGGTGCAAGGGAAGGGGAATGGCCTAAAGAATGCTGGAAAGAACCAGAATGGAGGTGCAGGGCCCCAGGCACAGGCTCAGGGTCGCAGACACAGGCAGAGAAAAGCTTCTTGTTCATGCGACTTTTGGCCACAAAAAAAATCTATAAACTGCTCTGTGTGTCTCAAACAGTGAGGACAGAGGACATGATCTGAACCATTTTCAGGCTTATTTGAAAGGCATATGTGGAAATGAAGATGAAATGCTGGAGGCTCCAGGGTGCATGAGATTCCCAGGAGAGGCCAGTTTGGCTGGGAAGGACATGCAACCCCATCCTCTGCCCAGCTGGACCCGTTTTGTAGGACCTTGGTATGCAGGGCACCTCCTCTTGGGCAGGCTCAAGACTCCAACTGCATGTCCGTGACAGCGCCTATCCACTGGGAAGCCCACCTCTTGGGACGCTTTCTCTACAGTGCATCCCATCACAGTTCTCATCAAATGTGTGAAAGCAAGGAACTTAAATCCCTGAAAGTAGTACCTTACTGACAGAGCACAGTGTGGCAGGACCGTGAGGCTCTTGGACATACAGGCAGGTGAACATCACCCTCCTCTCCTCCTCCTGCATCTGCTCTGCAGCGAGGATGAGCTGTCAGCCTGGCATCCTGTAGAGATGGATGCTCTGCATTCCGTAATTAACAACAGGACCCACTTCCATGTCCTTCCCTGGAGCGGGGCTGGGGGTAGTGCTCCTCCCTGCACCACAGGAAGTACCTGTGTCTCCACATGGCAGGGCTTCCCTGCCAGCCAGGGGCCTGGATGGAGGCTGGGCACAGCTGTGCAGCCATGAAACAGGTGAGGTGCAGAGAGGGTCCTGTGGGAGCAGCCTGCAGCCTCATAGGACACAGCCCAGGTGACCAGGTCCAGTCCCAGGAGAATCGCCGTCTCCACTAGGCAGCAAAGCCCTGCTGTGCAAGTCTCTGCTTCAGCTACTACACTCTTCCCAATTAGCCTTTTTGGGAGCAAATCTAAATTTTCATTTCTGAATTGCTAAATTGCTCCTTGACATGTAGCAGTGGTTGCTGCTCCTAGGATCAGTGCTCAGCTCTCACAGGCCAGGGTGCAGTGCTGGGGTGTCCTCCATGCTGCACCCTAATGCCAGTGTCTCAGGCATCCTGTGGGCTGTACTGTTGCAAGAATCACTAGTTTTCAGAAAAGCATTTCTATGACTAAGATCATGGTACCAAAGTGCTCACAGTTACCATGAAGAGATGGGCCAGGAGAGACGGCATGGACCAAGGGGCAGGGCAGAAGGGGAGCCCTGAGCACAGAGTGGCTGGAGGGGGACACTTCGCAGTGGGAAGGTGCTGTCAAACACAGCCTGTTTTCTGGGCTGCAGAGGCGCTGGGTTGTGATCTGACTTCCCGCAGGGAAGAAGCTATGCAGAGGCTGAATAACATCAATGTCACATTAGCCTTTGGGGTGCAGCCTGGCCCCTCTCTCCATGAGTCATGGAGTTTTCTGCAAGTTATTTCTTTTCTCAGGAAATATCAAATGACCTCAGAGATTCTCTTTTCTTTCTTTCTTTCTCCTCTTTGAAATAGAAATGTTCTAATGACTGGACTCTTGCCTCCATGCATTTTAATATGCTGTATTATTCTGATGTTGTGAGCGGTTTACTGTAATTGCTCACTTTTCCTGTCTGTTCTGTTCAGCTCAGTGTCTTAGACTCACTGTAGCAGGTGGCAATCACAGAATCTCAGGGCCACAGAACTGCCAGGACCCTCAGAGCAAATCCACACACCACACAGGCACATTATCAGGGACCACAAATTCACAAGGGCTGATTCTGCACACATGTCTAAGGGATAAATGGAGGTTTGGGATTATGGTGTCAACCTTTTTTTGACTTCTCATTACCTCTTGGGGTACACTGTCTTCTTCCACCCACCAAGACTAAACTAAGACTACTAAAATGGAAAACAACACTCCAGAGGAAGGTCCTGCTTAGCATAAGATCATCTCCACCGTCTGGAGTCACCCCAGGATTATCTACTGCCTGCAGTGTCACTGTCCTGAGTCTCCTGCTAGTCCCTCCTGTCATTGTACACACCTGATAAACAGTGCTGGTTTGGAGTGTCTTGGCCTTTGCCCATCCTGAGGCATTGATCTCGCAGCCTCATATCATGCATTACTAAATTTGTCTCTTTCTTATGACATCCTTCCGCCATACTCCTCATATAGGCAGTTGAGAATCTTGGCAAGACCCCAATAGCACACATGCACCCTTTCTTCCCATGGTTCCATTGGGCTCAACAAAACCTCCTTGGTCAAAGGTACAGCAACATAATCTTGCAACCTGGGTCGGTGCTTTTCCCACTCTAGTGTGAAGGGCTGGCAAGGACGGCCACTGTGTCAGCAGCATGAAGCTTTGGTGTTTTTCATCTGTAGCAAGCAGGAAGAATAACGGTGATCTCCAATGAGCAACCTGGCACCAGTCACCTTACAAGTGTGAGATGCAGCCAGGAGGAAGGACACCCTGTGCACACAGCACTTATGCCCTGGGACCCAATGCCCCTGGGACATGCTAGCCGTGTGATGGACACACTGCTCACACTCAGCAGCTCCGAGCTGTGGAACAGCCCTGTGACACAGGTGCTTTTGTCCCATCCTGGCATTTGCTGCAGGTAAACAGCACTCTTGGGAAACAGGAGCTACACCCGGAATCAGGAGCTACACCTGGAAAATGGGAGCTACACCTGGGAAACAGGAGCATGCAGCTGTTTTTTACAGTCCAATTCCTGAGCCTGCATTTTGTTTCTCAGTGTGGAAGTTACCCTGAGTATGAGGGGGAGGGACAGAGGTCTTTGCAAAGTGCCTTCCCTTGGTGCACACGAGGCAACATGAAGAAAGGTGAGCTCCACACTCCAGGCGAAGAGACCATGCATGGGGCAGAAGTCAGAAAATTTCCCACAAAAACCTCATGAGATTAAGAACGCTGTGGTCTTCAGGGTATGGCTGGGCTGAGTTCATCTCCTGTGGAAACTGCAGAGCTTGCCCAGACTCTGGCATCAGAAGGCGTAGGAAGGTGGCAGGGCCACCAAATGTGGGAGGGGCTGTGGGTGGCAAGGTTGGCAAGGAAGAGGGAAGGGGCCTGAAAACACACACGGCTGCTTACTTCCAGCTTGCTCGGCTCCTCGGCAGTGCCAAGAGTTACACCTGGGTTATCCAGACTTCCATAATGCCTGAAACCTGGGGCACACTCACTGCTCCTCTGCCGCACTGGCTGTGCTAAGCATCCCGGTTGCCACACAGTGGGAAGTGCAGGACCCGACAGCCCGGGCCCAGCAGGCTGCACAGGGCCAGCAGAGGCTCCACTAGTCTACCTGGCTGCTTGAACATGACAGAAAGTGGTTGTGAGGACATTCCTCGGGTCTTCAGCCAATGTGCTGAAGGAGAATTTGGAGCAGCACACCTCATTGGAAGGAAGCTAATCTGATGAAAGGAAGCCAAACTCTCCCCAATCTGTAGGCACAGGAACCCTCACGTGGCCACAAGTGTGGACAAACCATCGGTGGTGGTGCACCACTGACTGCCTTTACCACCTGGACTCTGGACACCATTTTTGAAGTCAGCCCTTTAATGCCATTTGCAAGTC